ACCGACCAACTTTGGTCGGTAAAAAAACCGACCAAAAAACCGACCAAAGTTGGTCGATTTTTCAAAATATATTTTTTTTTTATTTACGAAACCGACCAACTTTGGTCGGTTTTCTTTGGCGCAAAAATGCGGAAAACTATTTTTGAGTCCCGCAAAATTTATGTTTCAAGAAACCGACTAACTTTGGTCGGTTTTTCAATTAATATAAATAAAAATTAATATTAAAAAAACCGACCAAAATTGGTCGGTTAATTCAGCGGGTCATTTAAAAAAACCGACCAACTTTGGTCGGTAATTTTACTTTTTAATAAAACCGACCAACTTTGGTCGGTTATTTTCGTGCGAAAATACAATTAAAGAGTATAAATCAAATAAAAGACAGTCTTAAAACAAAATGTACCAATGGTCTAGTGGTAGAATAGTATCCTGCCACAGTACAGACCCCGGTTCGATTCCCAGATGGTGAATCTTTTTTTTACATAATTAAAATACCGACCAACTTTGGTCGGAAAAAACCGACCAACTTTGGTCGGTTTTTTTTGCAATATTTTTTTTTGAATTTAATTGACCGACCAAAGTTGGTCGGTAATTTCCGACCAACTTTGGTCGGTATTCCTTTCCGACCACAAAAATACCGTCCACACGTAAATGGTCGCGTTTTGGTCGGTTTTTTGCCATTACCGACCAACGTTGGTCGGTTTTTTTGGTCGGTTTTTACCGAATTTCTAGTAGTGTATTGTGTTGTTTGATTTAAAAAAATTGATACACCATTCATGGACAATAAAAATTATTGACTTATTTGAAGTTTGACACCCTTGACAGAATCCAGGCTACCCCACTGTCAACATGCACAAGATAGGAGTAAGGTCTGCATATACACTAAATCCAGGCTACCCCACTGTCAACATGCACAAGATAGGAGTAAGGTCTGCATATACACTATCCTCCCCAAACCCCGGCTACTTGTAGGAATATACCTAATATATTGTTGTTGTTATTGTAATGACATCATTGTATTTGGAGGGCTTTCCTGAGAAAATTAGTATACGTAGAAAGACTTTTAACATACATGGAGAAGGTACATTGTATGTGCAGATTTTCTAGCAAATGAAGATCACAAATGTAAAAAATAATTCGTTAATCTGTGAAGATGCGCTCAATGTCTTTGATTTAAGATCAAAAGAGTTTATATATTGTCGCATCTAGAAGATTAATGGGATATTGTTTCCGAAATTTAAATTGTTAGGAAAGTTAAGTAGAATTTATTCTAAATCTTCATACTAGTACTAGTAAAAAGAATCCAACATTGGAGATGACAAGGATAAAAGGTTAAAATAATCTTGTATTGTCTTGTGATTCGTTGATACTAAGCTTTTTGTAATAAATAAACTTTAAATGCCAAAAAATGGAAATCTATTACTCAATTACGTGACTAGAGTACAGTTCTTGGATTTTATTCTCGAAAAAAGGAAGTGCCTTTTGAACAGGAGTGTATAAAGAAAATCGATAAATAATACCAAACCAATAATTCGAATCAAACCGGAAAGATATCCGAAGTGGTTTGATATTGAAAAATAAAACCCGACCATAATTGGTTTGATTTGGTATTAACTAAAAAAAGTCAAACCGAAACCAAACAAACCCGATAGTACATTTATATAATTTTTAAAAATATTTTATACATATAAATATTTATTGTAATGTAATTTATAAATATTTCTTAAACTTTTTCACAGTTTTATCTTTTAACGTATTATTTCAAGTTTAGACTTAACATTCTTGAATGGCAAATAAATTTTATAACCCATAAATGTAGTAACTCAAACAAAGTTCAAAACAATACTAATGCTAACAAAAGAAATTCAATTCAATATTAGGAATGATGAATATGTTGGATAATTATTTTAGTTTTACATTGGTTTATAATGAAAAACATATAATTAACTTAGTTTATTTTTTTTTTAGTGTTTAGTTATATAATTAATATTAGTACTTAGCTATACTTATTTTAGCATGGCCTATATAGTATTTTTAGATTATATTAATTTTTTTATGGCTTATTAATTAGCAATATTTGTTTTATGTAATTTTATTATTTTATCTTTGTTATTGAATATTTTAGTATAATGCTATGACTTATCTCATATTATTGTGTTAGTTTCTTGGAAAACACATTATATAGTTGTATTTTACTAGGACTTAAAAAATATTTGGAGCACAATTTACATATTTTATGCTATGATGACTTTACCGGAAAAAAAAAACTGAAAACCCGAAAAAACTCGAAAAATCCGAGATTGAAAACCCCGACTTTGTTGGTTTGGTTTGGTTTATAAATTAAAAAACCCGACACCATTGGTTTGGTTTGATAATTAAAAAATCCGAACCAACCCGACCTATATACACCCCGACTTTTGACTATTTTCCCCTATTTTTTAAGAAAGAAGATGAAAGTGAAAGAACAAAGAGGAATGTACAACATAAGATAAGCCAATTAAGGTGCTAAGGTTTTCTGACTGGTTAATTTCAACCTGTCCATTAACGTAGAATCTTGATCCAATTTTACCACAATATTTACTAATGAATCAAAGTTATATGAACAAACAATGTAAGAAACATTTACACACTTAAGGTGTCTAAAAAAGTAATTACATGTATATTTATACAATAAGTATTGATTGATAACCTGAAATAAATGATAACTAATATCTTAATTTAAATAATATTAGTAATTGTATAAAATTTATTTACGTGAATACAACTTAAATTCTTTACAATCCGTTTATCTACATGTCCCATAAATGAAAAATAAAGAAGAAGAAAATATAAGAAGTCTAAGTGTGACACCCATGACGAAGGGTGCGCGGATGAGATCGGGCCAAAGGGCAGGATTGACAGGCTTCTAGGTTGGTAAGCCTACGAAGAAGAGATGCACATGACAGCTTAGGTGAATCCCACAATAGAAAGGAAAGTGAAGAGTTTTATAAGGCATATATAATACAAGTTCACATAGTATGTGTGCTTTTGAACTTGATGATGACAATAAACCAAGGGATAAACCATAAGGTCTATTGGATCAAAACAGACAATACGTGCCATGTGTTTGGACTGTGACATGCTTATAGGTTGGCAAGCCTATGAAGAAGAGATACACATGACAACTTAGGTAAATCCCACAATAGGAAGGAAAGTAGAGAGTTTTATAAGGCATATATAATACAAATTCACATAGTATGCGCGCTTTTGAGTTTGGTGATGACAATAACTCAAGGGATAAATCATGAGGTCTATTGGATCAAAACGGATAATACATGCCATGTGCGTGTGGACTGCGACAAGCTTCTAGGAAATTCTCTAAAAACCCTTTTTTTAATTAAAAAAAAAAACTCCCCTTTTGTGGTTGGCCACTTGGCCTGAATGATGGGCTAAATGTCAACATGCTTCTTAGTACTAAATGGCCTCTAACCTAACTGCAGGAATTTGTGGCTTTAGCCCTTAATGTAGGAGGTATATGCCCTACACTGTACAGAGCTACAATATATAGTAGTGGTAGTAGACTTTATAAGGGGTACTTTCCATGATCTAGCTAGGCTGAATAAGTCATCTGATGAAATATTCTACTAACACTTGTTAACATTTGGATATAGATTGGATATGCCTCAAACACAAATTTTACTTGCTGATTTGATTCTTTAGTTTGTAATCTACAATCAATTACTCATCTACTAAGTTTAAAATAACTTATATTTCCACTAATACAATTGATACTACAGTCTACATAAATGTCTAGGAATATAGGCACAAAAATACTAGTATCAAATTTTACCTTTTGAACTAAATACAGCATGCATATTGAATTACTAAAGAGAATAGTTTATTTTTCGCACAAGCTGGTTCGGATATTACGGTTATAAAAAAAAATAGTTTGCTCTTGTGTGTCAGTGTGTGGCAAGTATCTAGTTAATTCATCCCTATATTCCTCTGATGACTCAAATTTTTACTGTAGAATAATGAAGATCAAGAGGGAAGCATAAGAAATTTAAGAGTTAAAACTAAGAAATTAAAATGCATATGAAGGGTCCAAGTCCAATTATTCTCTAGCAATATATTAATTGTTGCTTTTACAAAGAATGGATGCTTCACATCTTTTCAAATTCCAAAAGAATAGGTCAAAGTCCCTCATCCACCTTTTGCTTTGTGATTCCTCTTACAATTAATCTACTTTTCCTGTTTATTAATTTTCAAAATCCTTAGACCTTTTTCCACCTTTATTTGCATGCTTAATTCTCCAAAGAGCAGTGTTGCCTTTTTGAGTCTTGGTCCTCTAAAAAGCTGAGGGATGGAGAACCAGAGGATAAAGGAGTAATAAATCAACAGGGTATAATGGTCACCCTACAAAGAACCAGAGGACAAACCTGTACTTTCAAGCAAATCAGCGAACACCCTTTTGGTGCTTCTATCCATCAACCTTTAATTTATTGGCAAAAGTGCATTCCAAAAGTAATTAGCCGGGTCCCTTCATTCTTAACCAGCAACAAAATACTGCAGTAAAGTTTGGGAGGATAGTATACGTAATATCAAGGATTAGAAAGAATAATAATAGCAAAACTAAGAGCGAGAAAATTGGTGGAAGGAAACAGTAGTAACAAGCATTAATCGCAGCAAAATACTAAGAAACCGACGAGATAGGTAATAGGAAAACACACATAAAATTAACAATCTAAGAATAATAAAACACTATTAGACTAACCTTAATAATCCGGTATAGATCATCTCGACTACCTACTAAACTTCTAGCATTAGGAATAGAGAATATCTTGGTAAACGACACTTTATTTCTTTAATGGGCCTACTCGTCACAAATAAAAATTAGTATAGCCAATGAGTTTTAGATAATACAATTAATAAAAAGGTATAACTGCAAAAAGATGTTCTTATCATTGCTTATATAAAACCTTGTCACTGAAATCTAAATAACCCACACACTCATTAACCAAAAAATGGTTTTCTCCACTTACCTTCAATCTTTCTCCAAAACACCACAAAAGCTAAAGAAAAGAATGTTAGCTACATGGACACCAGACCAAGAGCTTAACAAAGTGAGGCTAAGGTCTGGTGCTGACATGAAAAGAAAACTAACATGGTATGATTTAGTAGCTCTTGGAGTTGGAGGAATGCTTGGTGTTGGAGTTTTTGTTACCACAGGTCCCGTTGCTCGTAAAACCTCAGGCCCTTCTGTTTTCATCTCATATATAATAGCTGCTATATCAGCACTTCTTTCATCCTTGTGCTATACTGAGTTCTCCGTTGACGTCCCTGTTGCTGGAGGTGCTTTCAGTTATCTTCGCGTTACCTTTGGTATGTATAAAAAGGTTAAAATACGTTACTAATGTAATGTTTATTATGTTATTAGTGTATATAAGTTAAATTTATATGTGGTTATTGATTAACTTGGTGAAAGTGGGTGCAGGAGAATTTGTTGGATATTTTGCAGGAGCAAATATATTAATGGAATATGTGTTGTCAAATGCTGCTGTGTCAAGAAGTTTTACGGAGTATTTGTCTTGTGCGTTTGGTAGGAATGACCCAAACTCATGGAGAGTTCATGTACATGGTTTAATGGATGGTTACAACATGTTGGATTTCTCAGCTGTTGCATTGATTATTGTCCTCACTATTTGCTTGTGTCATAGGTTTGTTAACTATCTTGCTTTCATGCTTGGCTTTCTTAACAATTTTTATAACAACGGGGTTTGAGTAGTTTGCGTACCCCTCAAAATTGTTTTTGCCAATATCCAGTGGCATTTAAGGGGTGTCATTTGATACCGTATAGGTAACGAATTATTTTGAATATCCAGTGGCTAGGTAACGAATTATTTTTTAATATTATATATTGACTCTTCTTAGGTTTATTTATAAGTAGATTTACTTCTTTATATTTTGACATTCCTTAGCGACGCTTCCGATATCTACTACTGCCTTCAGCACACCTTGTTTTTGTAATAATATACTTTCCACTAAATGAATTAATGAGAGAGATACAAAGTCATGTCTTCTTTCTTTCCCTAATGTGCTTGGAGAAATTATTGGTCAAACATGGAATATCATTTCCTTTTTGTTTTATAGTTAATATTTCTTTTAGTGGTATTTGATAATGATGTAGGGTGTATATCATTTTGTAATTTTGCAGCACTAAGGAAAGCTCAATGTTGAACCTGGTAATGACAATGTTCCATGTGGTATTCTTTGGATTTATAATCATAGCTGGCTTTTGCAATGGGAGAGTTGAAAACTTAGTAAAGCCAGGAGGAATAGCTCCATATGGTGTTAGAGGAATTCTTGATGGAGCAGCAATAGTTTATTTTAGCTATATTGGATATGATACAGTCTCAACAATGGCTGAAGAAATAAGAAACCCTTCAAAGACTCTACCAGTTGGAATTGTTGGCTCAGTCCTCATTGTCTCTGCCCTCTATTGTCTCATGGCATTATCTTTGTGCCTTTTGGTACCTTATAACATGGTATGTCATTCAACTTTCCATCATGTTCATTTTTCTTCCTACTCTATATAAAGCCATTGCTCACTTTCCAAGGATTTAACTTATATATACAGTATAATTCTTGAGCCAAGAGTCTACTGAAAACAACATCTCTACCTTTTTAAGGTAGATGTAAGGTTTGCGTATACATTACCCTCCCTAAACTCTACTTGTAGGATTACAGTGAGTTTGTTGTTGTTATTGTACAATATAAAGAATATGTACACTATGAAATTTTACATAAAATAGATTGCATGCATTATTTTCAGGCAACTAGTTTCACTTATTATAGACGGTTATTTTATAGTCATGACTTGTATGGCAAATTTTTGAATATTATCGGTGTATAGAAATTAAACTATTCTTCGAATGTTTGGTAGATCCCAGAAGGAGCATCATTTTCAGCAGTTTTTCAGCAAATGGGATGGAAGTGGGCAAGCAATGTAGTAGGGGCTGGTGCATGTTTGGGGATTGTGGCATCTCTATTAGTAGCCATGCTTGGGCAAGCAAGGTACCTTTGTGTCATTGGGAGGGCTAGGCTTGTGCCTTCTTGGTTTGCCCAAGCACATCCTACAACAGGCACTCCACTTAATGCTACTATCGTTTTAGGTAACTAATATTGACGTATTATATATGACTATAATTTAAAATTTTAAACTATTAGAGATGGTACACTTTCAACGAACTGAATTAACGTAACGATTTTCTTGAACATCATTTTGAGTGGCATTTCAATCCACCATTTACAAGAAAACATCAGTGATATGATAATTAGGGAAAATCTTCAATATTTACCTAAATGTATTAGAATTTTGATTCGTCAAATTGTTCACAAATTCTAAAACTTTTTCCAAAAACATGTGAATACATGGTGGTCTAAATGATGGTTTCCAAAATGATACTGCGGTTATAGAATCGAATGTGTATTGTAGATATTCTCATCACAAGACCCCCATCATGTTAATTAATATCGATTTCTTAGAGCCCCATACGATATAAAATAAATTTGTAATGGTCACTTGTCAAAATTAATGGGAGAACCTTTTTGTTTGTATGTTTGTGGTGGCTGTTGTTTCTTATTTCTTTTTATTCATTTGTTTTCCTTATTGATAAACGTAGATTAATTAACTTAGATATAAAGCTAATAGTCATATTTGGAGGAATAAAATACCTTTCAGCTGGGTAAGCTTATATCACAAGAAAACTCCAAGGGCCAATTCAACCAAAAAATTAAATCCGATCTCTATATATATATATATATATTAGTGAAAAAGAAAGTTCCCCTCCTTTTTCTCACCCCTTTTTTGAATGTTAATTTGTGGTCTAATATTTGCCAATAGGCATCAAAGCATAACTTTTTATTTAAAATCTAAAACAAGAAGAAAAACAAGAAATTAAAGCCTAAAATAATGGCATTTTCTCATAGCTTTATCCATATTTTATTTCTTTTGCAGGTATATGCCAAGCATCAATTGCACTATTCACAGAACTTGATATTGTGATAGAGATGATTTCCATTGGCACATTACTAGTATTCTACTTAGTATCCAATGCACTTATATTCCGTCGATATGTCATCCTTAGCAAAAATCCACCACTTCACACTCTCTTCTTCCTCTTTCTCCTTTCATGCACCTCATTTGCATTCTCTTTAGCATGGAAACTCAAATTACAATGGTGGAATCTCCTCTTAATCGCTACCCTTACAATTTCTATGACAGTCATTTTCCAGTATTTGGTTCCTCTCGTCGTCGTTCGACGACCAGATAGTTGGTTGGTTCCTTTCATGCCATGGCCTGCTACAATATCCATTTTCCTTAATGTTTTTCTTATGACAACTTTGAAAATGGTGGCATACAAAAGATTTGGAATATGGGCTGGTTTTATAACAATATTTTATGTAATTTATGGTGTCCACTCAACATATCGTGCAGAAGAAATAATGGAGATGGTAGTTGTTGATAATAATGTGAACACTCAACAAACTGCTAAGGTTGAAATCCAAGTTCTTTAATGCAAGGTGCATGTGATATTTTATTTGGCAACTGCAGTAATAATGTTGCTGAAGCCAAAGCAATATTAATAGAAACTACTCCTTTCATTACTGTTACAGAAAAGAAAATATGATCAACTTGCAAACTGGCAAACTAGGGTGAGATGATCAAGAAGGAAACTTTTACATAGTAGTTTGGAAAATTGTATATCCATATACCTTTTTCTCATATTTTTTTCTTGTTTGACTTTCTTGTCATCAATTTTAGCTATAAACTTTGATTTTGACATTTTATGGACTTTGTTCAATTCCTACATGAATTTTTTTTTTTTTTTTTTTTT